GGCCTCTCCTTGCTCCTCTCTAGTCCTGCCCAGCCAAAATCACAGAGCACAAGAAAATTTGAGTTCTCGTAAGAAACCTCACCTAAGCCCAAAACAGCAATTACAGCTGAGCGTCAGAGATGACAGTATGACACAGGCTTTTGCTCTACATCAGCATAAGCCAGTGCTGTCACCAGAAAGCAGCAGCTTTGCCTACTCACTACCCCAACCACCATTTCCCCCTCACAGCCCATACCACTCCTTGTACCAGTATTTGTCTGTTTACAAGGTGAATTGAGGACATACAGAGACATTCAGGATGATACACACGTCAATCAACAGCACGAGCTAAGAGGTATGTTGGAACTGAGCCAATAGGAACAGCCTGTGGAGATTTTGGCACCTTAGGAAGTATACGCTGAGTGTTTGTGCACTAAGATTTTATAAAAAGATTTTTACCTTGGCCAGCTTTAGGCAGGTTTCCATCCCTACCAGGAACAGCTGAAGTCATACTTGCAGTACAAGGGCACCCTTCACCAAAAATCAAGTCTCTGCTTAAGAACATTAGAGCGCTACTACATCCCAAAGAATGGATGACCAGAAAATACATCACTAAGAACAATGCTTTTTTCCCCCCAACTTCATTCCAAACGCAACTGAACAATCATTTTGGCTGATACTTTTCCTTTGAGTTTTATATGTTTTCTCACCAGCGTTATCAAATTAGCGTTTTTCTTTATGCTGCAGTGCAAATACTTTGCAGCTTTTGATTACTGAAAACTTAAAAGTGTTAGTAAAAATATTCTATAGCACACATTAATTCTACCAGGTCTATCTCAAACTGACTTGCTATTTACGTCTCAGCTGCTATTTATGCCTTTTTCCTTTCTAATTGCATAATACTTACCTTTCTATTATATCCCTTACAGAGCTTATTATCCCATCAGTTTCTTTTCCATTGTTTGTCTTCCTTCCCTTGGCTCAGTAAACATAAATAAATTTTCATTTATACAAATTCACATAATAATTTTATCACCACTAGTTGGACACATAGATGCAAGAGTTAAGGCCAAAACCAGCCTTGAGAGATTAAATATTTATTTCCTCTACCGGGACTGAAGATGATAAACAAGTAAATCACAGAAGTCAGTGCCTAAAATGGCACCCAATGTATTTTTAAAAATCCTGAGCAGCTTAACTGTATGACCCCCTGCAGCAAAGAATGCCATAGGTAGCACAAACAATTTCCTTTTGTTAAACTTTAACAAGAGTTCCTTCTGTTATGACACAAATATGGAGCTTTTCAGTTTGTATTATCGCTCACAGCTCCCTCTCTGTTCCTTCTCTTGACCACTTATACCTGCTCTTTATAAGTGCCCATTTTATGTATACCCTCTCACGCCTACCCACTTCTATGAACCAACTTTAGATAGTCCATGTCTGCTCTACTGCAAAGACTTACAAAAAAGCATTAAGCAAATAAGAATCTTTACCAAGGAAACAACATCAGTGTCGGCAAAAATTCTGTTACTAAAAAATAGCTTCTTGTCTTTGACATTAAAAGAATACACTTTGAGGACAGAAACAGATTAAACCTAGGCAGCAGTATCTTCCTAGTTTCCTCGGAAACCTTGCCAGCTCAGGCAACAGCATTAAACAGCTGCCATTAGAAAGGAGGGAGGGAAACAGCTGCCTCTGCAATTAGAGCAGCCTCTGTTCTTCCGGCTAAGATGCACAGGAGAGAAAGGAATCCCACAGAGGCTCCTACGGGGCCAGCAATAGGGCTGGTCCGACAGACCCACGTGGCCAAGGACTATTTCTAAGCAAAGAATCATTCACAGGCTTTCAAGCAGGGCCTCACTGCTCCCCTCCTCAAGATAAAGTCTAGTCCACAGTAAGTTTAATCAAAAGCCATCTCAGACATTAATGTGCTTCTTTGGGTCTCTCCTGGAGCCAACTAAGAAAAGCATTAATGGGATTAATGAGATATACTCTTCATCACCAGTACGGGAGGGAAAAAACAAAACTATCACCATTTCGCTCTCAGGAACATGAGAAGAGAGCCTTCAAGCCCAAA